GTTAATAACGTTACATATTAATACGCCTCGAGCCATAATATTTTAGGTATCCGTCACAGGCGATGATTTTACCGTCGTCGTTCTGAAACTTTTTTTTTTTTTTTTTTTTGTATTTTCACCGCACGCGCACAAAAGCGTCTATCCTGTTGTAATTATTAACTCGTCGAGTGTTTTGTCTTACTGGGTCAAGCACAATTATTCCGATCTTGTTTCCTCCAGCCTCCGTGGGCACCAAACTGTACTTAAATATACATAGTTTTGTTTTTATATGTTTCAGTCGAATTACAAGAAAGTTCTTCGCCAAGTCAAACAGTCGCAATTAGTCGTCAAAACGATCGTTTCCAAGACGAGCTATTCTTTTAACAATAATTAGTTCCGTAGCTGCCGCCGTCCAATTAGTTTTTGCAACAGCGGCGGTGGCACTGTGGCAGTGTAATACTAATAGATATGATGTGCATTTTGAATTTCGATTGTTTCGCGCGAAACCTTATTAAGACTTGCACATAAATTTAAGACCCATTCATAGAGCAGAACGCGGCCAAGTCTCCTGTAGTGCATAAACTTTTCGTGCAATTAGATAACTTTGGGACTTTTATAAGCACGCGTGTCTACCCGTGAAATGACATGGACTCGGCGTGCCTAAATATACATAAATATATTACGAGTATGTGTGTATGTTGTGGCCCGTTTTTTAGGAGTCAATCGTCGAAATACCGAAACCTAAACGCCCCCACGAGATGGGTATGTATACAGATAAGTATTATTACAATAAAAATAAAGAATAATTATAGACACGCACGCTCCGAGTTAAAAAAAAGCTGTCCCCGTTCTACACGGGTAGGGAAAACTGCAAATAAAACACAGCAATAATTATTGTATTATATGGACGAAACGATGATCGGCGGAACGATAACACATAATAATACGTCGACTTCGGAATTTTCAATTATACATAATACGATGCTACATAATACAGGTAGGTACTTGTTAATTATTTTGTCGCACTATAATCACTTTGATCGATTAAGTGAAAATCCACCGTCCATTAGTATTGTACCATGTACAAAATACATGTTTTGACTATTATAATATTACGCTCAAACTAAAAATTGAAAAAACATAAAAAAAATTCTGACTTTTCACATATTGTCTTCATTCACTATTGAGTGTATGCAATTTTGGGGTGAAAAATGTATAACGATTCATAAACACAGTTTCTTACACACTTTGAAGTATTTTTTGAATCATTTTCCGATTATTATCTTTTTTATATTATGATTTGTTATGAAAATTGTTTTAGATTAGTCATATTAATTGTACATCAAATAATTACTTTTATTTACACGCAATACGGCAGTAGCCGCTATCTATTCATACAACCACCGTTTTCGTTTGTATATTTTTGTTAAAAAAAAAATTTGCATATTAAAGCTTAATTTTATTATTTTAATCATTTTTACTCAAAAGAGTATTTGTAGGTTTTCACAGAGCTTATTAAAATCATATTTGGTTTTTTTTTGGCATGACAATCCGAACCCTAGTGGCCTAGTTATGACCTAACCTTGGGTGGATGTGAACACTTTTATGAACTCTTTAAATTATAATAGATCTTAACACAGTAATATTTCTGTTAATATTTCAACTCGGGTATAGAACTGAAAGACTGGCGATTATTTCAAACTGATTATTATTGATACATTTTAACGGTAAAACATAGACTCTATTTTCAATTTAATTACTTGTAATTTAATGTGGTGTATAGATTATTTTAATATATTATTATATTAGCCTGCAAATAATTGACGGTTTTCGTTCGACGTTATAAAATCGTAACGTTATTTACTGATTTGTCGACTAACAAATAATACTATATATTATATACTATAATACTATAATACTATACTATACTGACACATATGCATATTTCTACGAGTATTCGTATATAAATACAATTTTCAATTTTCAATTTTAATTCGTACACCAAATGTATTGTTATCCCGTAAGCATATAAGTATTGTGACAAAAATGTTGGCAAATTGTTTTCCTAACGATTTTCATAAGCCAGCACGCAAACTGAAGATACCAAATATTGTACTAACATCTTAATATAAATATTGAAAATTCCGAATGACGTCAAAAAATTCCTTCGATATTGGACCCCGAGGCCCCGAATAATAAAAAAAGAAGTTGTAATATTTTATAACCATAACCTTTATTCGACGAAAATTTGGTAATTAAAATTTTAATAAAGTTAAAAATCCTATACTTAGACACAAAGATAAGTATTATAATATCTCTTACGTGTTATTTTTAATAGAAATAATAAAACAGTGTTTTCAATACTATAATATTATAATATGTTTGGTTTTATCATGATTATAAAAATCGAGTAAATGTAGAAAAGAGCTTTTGATCCGATATTTATCCTGTTAAATAGACTTATTACATTAATACGCAATATATTTTTATATTTCGTTAACAATCGTGATCAAACATTAATTAAATAATTAATACGATTGAATGGAATATAAATAATATACTATTGACAATAAATAAAAAGTTTCACGAAAATAATTATGTTATTTAACACTATTTTCTATTCCATCGTAGATTTATGTAGTTGGGTAACTAATAAATATTATTTTCATCGGTTGTTTGACAAAAACCAAACTTATAAAATGTCTATTGAAGATTGTTTAGGTAGTTTACGAAATTCGCAAAAGCTGTTTTCATTCATAACTAACGGCAAAATCGTGTAGGCACTTAAAAACCTTTATATATTTTATCCTGTAGGGTTTTTTTTTAATAGTCTCAATTTTATCACTTTTGATTGTTGCATACAATTAAGACATTTTACCAAAAACATGATATTTTATTATATTATGTTTGTTTATATTTGGCCATGGATCAAATTAATTCTAATCGTATTAGTTAGGAGAGAACTCATAAGCCGAATCATTTTTGATTGTCGAGTATTTTTTAATCTTCTTAGAATTCATGGTTTGGATTTCACCTTTTTTTTTAAAATTTAAAATAAGAAAAAATTTAATTAAATATTGACACATTGTACAACGAGGAAACTTGGTTGGCCATTTTTAACTACTTTATCATAAAGCGACTCACGGAGGACTTTCTAGTTTTTTTAATAAGTAACATACCTGCTGGGAATTTAAAAATAATATAGTTAATCGGGCGTGATGACCAAAAATATATTATTGACATTTATGATATATTTTTTTTTAAATTAGATTGCATTTTCCTTTGCCACAATTAAGTAATTATAGTGCTAAGAAAAACTCGGAAATACAATATTCAATTCAAGCACAAATTATTATTTTAAAATTATGTTGTGGTAAGGTTATAGAAATTTGGGAATAGGTACATAGAATGATTGGCTAATTATTGTCTCACTTGAATGAGAAAATTGTATTTGCATTCAATTATAGGTTAACCTTTACAACGCGTTAGATTATATTTTCAAAATCACAAAAACCAAATATTTGCACAACTCATTACTTTTATTAACACTAAAAATGTAAGAATAGGTATTTATTGTTATTCATTAGTTTTTCATCACGTCAAGATTTAATCGTAACAATGTGAATTCGATATGCTACATTACTATTGTAGTCAACGGAATTATTTTCATTTAAATTATTTCTAGCCTTTAAAAATGAATGGAATTAAAATATGTAGATATCATGTTGAAATATCACAACTTTTGGTTGAATTTTATAAATCGGTTGAATCGGTCAGAGGCACATTGACCGATCTTCTATAGACTGAGCGATCAAAATCCACCATCAGATTATTAATTTATCGATCATAAAATATTAATTATGACGTGTGCCGGTTGTATTACACGAACAGACAATATCACTAAAATATAATTTACCTGCTATTGCTTGTATTGCGATCAGCGGCGGCGACTGTGGCGACGGTATCGGCGGCGGGTCGGTGCGGCGACGGTCGGGTTCGTGTGTCTATCGTCGGGCGAACAACGTCCGTACTGAACCACATGCGAGACACGCCGCCACGACCACCCGACGATTTTCGGGGAGCGCAGGCGCCCACGTCGTGCGACACGCCAACGCCTCCGACGCCGTACCGGTCAACAAGTCACCTCTGTCGAGCGCGCGCATCGCTGTCGTCCGCATATAAGGTCTCACGCTCTCTCCGCCCCCTTGTATCGTTTTGCCATACGCCCCCCGTGCCCCCCCCCCCCATCTCTAGACCCCCTGGTTGCGTATGTGCTATTCTTTTCTTCCACACGTAAAAAGACGCTTAGTTCTTCTACTCGCTATCGCGTCACCCCGATTTTGCTTAAGAACGCCACTCCTCCCCAACCCTATCCTACCTAGATCTAGTTGGTCGGTGTGTCGTGGTCAATCGTATTAAAACGTAGGAATATGTGTAGAATTTCCGACGATCGGCAATCGCATTTGAACGCGAAAAAAAATGTACACTCCGATTTATTTATACCTGTACCCGTGTTTGCTATGTTTGAGTTGAAACATGGAGGTTATTTTAGGTGCCTATAAACAAATTGATTCACCATTGTCCAATTTGATCACTTCGATCGTCAAAAATGGGGAATACCACCGTCTGTCCGACTAATAACTGTAACTGCAGGGACTGTCTGAGCCGGTATCACGTCAAAATGTCGCGGTAAAAATGTCGTGGTAAAAAGATCGCAGCAAAAACGCCGCGATAAAAATGTCGCCAAAACAAAAATGTCGCAGGTAGTAATATATCGCCGTAGTCATCGATGTGGCTCGCAGTTCCGGTTTTCATTCGGTCGTAGGTATGATTAGATTAGATTAAAGTAACATAGGTAATAAAACGAAAATTAAGTTCAGTATACATATTAGTGTGTAATCTGCAACCGTAACAGAAACTCTATAATATAATATAATCTGTACATTATGGCTTTTGAGTATATAATAAACCAAAAAAATGGAAAATTACTGAATTTTAATTCTTTTTTATACAAGAAAGAAAGAGAAAACGAAAATAAAATTATTTGGAAGTGCGTAGAGTATATTGCAAAGAAATGTCGCGGTCGATTACATTCATTTGGACAAAGTGTAGTTCATACTACTGAACATAACCATGTGGCCGATATTGCCAAAGTTGAAGCTAAAAAAGCAATGGCAAGACTTAAAAATATTGCAATAACTACTCAACTTAGTACCCATTCTGTATTAGGAACACTGACATTACAGGTACATAATTTATAAACATAATATAAAATTTTCAAATAATTATTTTTAGTTTATGATTTTAGACCACTTCCAACATAGCTGGACAATTTCCGAGTACAACAGGATTAAAACGAACAATTCAACGAGTTAGAAAAATAGAAAGATCAGCTCCTCCTGATCCAAAATCAGTAACTGAACTCAAAATACCAGATAATTACACAAAAACTTCAACCGGTGAGCTTTTTTTAAAATATGATAGCATTGATTACGAAAATAACTTAGACCGGTTTTTAATTTTTACTACCGACAACAATTTACAATTGATGGAACAATGTGAACATTGGTTATGCGATGGTACATTTTCTTGCGTACCTAGTATTTTCCACCAACTCTATACTATTCATGGAATAAATTATTCAAAAGTTGTACCAGCTGTTTATATACTTCTTCCTAATAAAAAAGAAGATACTTACAAACGTATGTTTTTAGCATTAATATTTTTAAAACCACAGCTTAATCCAAAATCAATGATGTTTGATTTTGAAAAAGCTGCTATGAACGCTTCAAAATATGTTTTTCCATCAATTAACATTAAAGGGTGTTTTTTCCATTTAACACAATCTATTTGGCGACATGTACAATCAAATGGGCTACAAGTTAGGTATACAAACGATTCAAATTTTGCACTCGAATTAAGAAAACTAGCAGCCTTAGCTTATGTACCTGAAAATAATGTAATTTCAGCATTTGAATCTCTGTTGGATTCCGAGTTTTATAGAGAAAATGAAGAGAGTCTATCAGGTTTAATCAACTATTTTGAAGACACATGGATCGGAAGACCCTGCCGGAGAGCGAGAAGAGCCCCTTTATTTTCTATAAATGTATGGAATTGTTATGCATTATTAAAGTATGATATTCCACGAACTAACAATTCAGTCGAGGGTTGGCATAATTGTTTTAGTTCGATGTTAAGTTCTCGTCATCCATCTATTTGGATTTTTATCGACTCACTGAAAAAAGAAGAAAGCTTAAACCGTCTAAAAGTTGAACAGTATATTGCTGGCATCAAACCTCCGAAAAAGAAAAAATACAAAGATTCTGCAATTTGACTTAAAGCCATATGTGATGATTATGAAAATCGATCAATTAACGACTACCTGCGTGGAATTTCGTATAACTTCCAATATCAATTGACATAAAAATACAATTTATTATTTTATTTATTACAACATTTTTAATTATTATTATTTTTTTGTGTACTCTGTACATTATAAAATTATTCGATATATAGATTATTTCTGGACACAATTTTATCAGCTAGAAATACCAGATATCTTATCATAATATCATTGTAACTAATTTTAAAATATCAATATAAAGTATAAATTCGATAATGAACACTGCGACGAGCAGTTTGTAATCTGTGTTCGTTTTACGTTGTAAGGTTATGTGTATGTGTAGTACTACTCTGTATTCTATAAAATCAATATATATATTTTTGACATCTCGATATTTTTGTATTCGCGACATTTTTGTGTTCGCGACATTTTAACGGCGACATTTTTGCCGCGACATTTTTACGGCGACAAAATTACCGCGACATTATGACGTGTATCCGTCTGAGCCTACCGTAATACTGGAAGATTCCCTGTGGCCTGGCCATTTTCCTCACAAGTACAGAATTAACCATTAGGAATAATTGTTTTGATCAATTTGCGTTTCAATATTATTCAAAAAAGATATTTTAAAGGTATTATGGACATGTGATATTTATTTCAATAAGCAACAGACACAGGTACGCCCAACTATAGTTTCAAATATTGTGAGGTTCAAACTTCAAAAAAAAAGTATAACAATATTATTATACCTATATTTATTGTAAACTAATGTTGACAAAAATTGTTGTATAACATTTGAAAAGCTGAAGCAACGTATCTGAAGAAATTTTCAAAAAATACGGCTTGGACGATGAACAAAATTGTTTACCAAAAATGGATTTTGTAAATACTGTAATACTCGGCCGATACCTGTCAATATTATTATTTTCGCAACTAATTCCGTCAATATTTTATAAACGATGTTTTCCGTTGTCTTTGGCTGATACATCATCAAAAACCCACCCAATTAAATTTAAACACCATTATAATAAAGCATAACACGAGACTTAATTATTATGTAGAGTATGTACTACGATTATCACTGTAATTCGTAAATATATTTTTTTCACTCTCACCCGCATCACAACAATAATAATTATTAAGACTCGGTCATTTTGGCGACAGCAGTGTCAAATTAATATTATTATCGTTTTGTCGTATTATGCTGCTGCACCACCATAATATCTCGAGTCAGAGGTATTTGACGCCTGAACGAATAATTTATCATTTAAATATTTAAAAATGTTTATTTCCCCAAGTAGTTCTTGTATACGTATTATACACATTATGCTGATGTGCGTACCGTGTCGCTGTTGCATAGGTATGGGTACGAGCTCGCAATGCAAAATGAGAAAAGGCAAAACGCGAGAAGAGCGTTAATTATAGATAGGAATTGCTTTGTTTTCGCCAGCGTATTCTCGCGAGACCAACTCGTTGGACCATAAACGTAAAACAAACTTGTATTTGTATAACGCGTTACCGAGAGAAGGGTTACCGAAACCTCTCGGACGATTTAACCGAATTCGAATGGTGGCGTGGTTTTTCATTTTTTTTTTTTTTTTTGGCGTGAGCTATTTCAACATTTGTTTCGTTTTTCTCGACTCTATGAAATATTTAATATCAACAAAAAAGTTTAAAAAAGAAGTGTAGGCAAGTACAATGAGAAAGCAGTTCACACACACACACACACATTTTGTAACTTTCGTTCACGCTACGTTATATATATATATATATATTAATATTAAGGCACCTTTGGAGCCCATATTCGTTGTTGAGGAGAGACCGAAAATCATGGGCACACGCTCGGGTGTAGTCATGTAGATTAAACGTTTTTTGACCTTCACGAAATTTAAAATGTCATCTCACTTACCTACAACTTACAAGTTTAATAGGTATCTAGGTAAAACATAATAATTCACGTCGAGGACACCTGAAAGTCATCGTACGAAACTGTCGACGAGATTAAATTACATAACACGTTATAGGATAATAATATGCAACAAAAATGAATTCTCCGAGCTATTCCAAAAACGTAATTAAAGATTAATTATTATTCGTCTTGGTTAAATCTAATTACTCACACAAGTCCAACCCGACGGGATATCGTTGTATATTATTATTATGATGGTTTATTTTATAATAATATTATGTTACGACTCGTTTAAAAAATTGTAACATATTTTAAGAGACGGCATTATACATAGACAATTTCAATACAACCGTGTATCGATAATCCACATTAAACTACCAACCAGTACTAGTATAACAGTTCGTGACCCTAATGCCGTGGAGGGGGGACGCAGACGGTAGGAGCGCTAGCCAACTAATAATAGCATATTTCCATATTTGATAACAAATATCAATATCATAATACTTTGATTTATCTAAAAAATTTCAGGAATTACTGTCTAACACATCAATCATTTTAATAAAATCAAAAGTTTTAAGAGTACAATATAAAAAATCCGAGTATGTATATTATATATTAAAATGGGATCGGAAAAACTATCTGGGATCTGCTTTAATGTGTTATTAAGCCATATAGTGTACAGTCAATGACGTATTACTAAAAAAATTGTGAGTATATGATACCTAACTAAGACTTTCGAATAAAGTTAGGTAACAGTGATAAAAACCTTACCAAAAAATCAAAAATAACTTTATCACTTCGCTAGTGCCTTATAATTATTTTATTTTATATCTTATTGTACAAATTAAATGTAATTATAGTTTGTAATTTTTATCGGACGCCTTTGATATACAATCTGGAAGTAGGTAGTTGACTTTTTCTAAAAAAAATCATGAAAATTATACGTTCGTTAGTTAGGTACATACATTTAGAAAGACCAATTTGAATTAATAATAATGATAAAAAATGTACTTTAATATGTTCACACATCATATAGATTTCTCATCAAGAAAATTAAAAATATAAAAATACTGTTTTTTTTATAGATATATGAAGTTCAAATTTGGCTGAAATTACATTTTAATACAAAGAATACAAATTTAGTTATTTTGTTGTGATTAAAAATGTATTCGTTTTTTTGTTTGACAGGCATAGGTAGGCCGACGGAGAAATTAGATTTTCCAAGACGATTTTCAATACGAGAAATATCTTTTACCCAAAATTATTAAAATTGTTCATCACGGTTTGATAATTTATTTACAATATATTGTTGCTTTGAAATGTCTAATTATCTAAGGCAATGCAATTGACCGACTTATGTTAAAGAAATATAATAACAACTCGACATAATATACATATTAATATATTATTATGTTTATATAACTTAAACCTGAACATCTTTAAACGTGTCAACACGTTTTGTTAAAACGTAATCGTCGACTTTATCCAAATTTTAAATAATTCAACGAAATACAAACAGTTTCAGAAATATTTGAGTCAAACTCAAAGCACAGAGATAAAATCATCACAAATATTATGACGTGCTTCATTAGTGTTTTCATTAGTGGTTCAGTAAAGGTGTTCAATGAACAACAATATAATAACATCATAATAATAAGGCCTTCATGAACAATCGGTCTGTTATCGTCGTTTTTTATGTTGTTTAGGATTTTATATTGTTATATTATTATGTAGGTATATATTTTTTTAAATATTTTTTTAGTAGCAACCGCGCTCTAACAATAATATTGATTTCTTCCACGTCATCAAAAATATTGTTATTATCACCTACCTATTATATTACGTACACTGGAAGCCTCAAACTTTGTATTGATATTTTTATGATTACCTTATTATTCCGTAAGCAAATATGACGTGTCTAATATACATAATATTATTAATTATTATATTATGGGCGCAACGGAATATCGAAACACTCGACTCACACGAACTTGACCTTTGTAGCCATATTATATTATTATCATCATCATATTTGATCAGAGAAATCACAGATGATTTCCAGATTTCGTACAACTAACTCGTCCGTATCGACATGTTATCTGCAGAGCTTTCCACCGCGATAAGGCCAAGATCCAAAAAAAAAACCGATTAAATACTTCGCAACGTTTTTAATAATAATTATTATATCGCATGGTGCGTATTAATCGTATCATGTGATTTTTTTCAAAAAAGTTGTATATTTTGTTTGTATAAAATGTACTGTCGCTATAAAATTATTATGTACAGCGTACCGGTGCATAATATAATACGGAATACCTACTACCAGCTACCTACAGAAAGCGCATCGTGTCTCGAATTCAACAGCCGGATGTTTTCTGAAATGGACTGAAAGTAATAATTTTTGCCCTCGGGGAGCATACTATTATTTATACTAAAATATTATTATAATTTGCAGTAACGAGGTGCGGTGCGAAAAACTCGCCGGCCGACGTCGTGTGCAGGCCAATAAGGTTTCGTTTTTCGAAAAAGGTCAAACCCGAAGGTGTTAATTAAACCGCGGGAATGCGATGTACATATTATAATAATACGATGCACACACGCGCCGCTGGGGTACAGTATACGATAATATAATATGATATAATATAATACGTATCCAAGTAGCTTAACCCCGTGCTTTATATTTTATAAAGCGGGCGAGTATACGCGGTACAATATGGTGATGACGATGATTACCTATGGCGATAATAATTATTAAAGTATGAACTGAAATAAGCAAAATATGAGCTGCGATACGATGAGATGAGCGGCGAGCCTATACACTAACCATGCATACAGAGTGATTCACAATCCATGCTCACCCCCTTCTCCACAAGTTTCGTATTATTTGGACTTATTATACCATTGCTCCTTATGTTCTGTGACGATACAGGCTTATTTTTTTTCAAACTAGAACTTTCCATATTAAGTGATTATCAGTATACAGTACTATGGGAAATGAATTTCGATAATTATAAAATGTTAGTGTAGATATTAAAATGACTCACAAATATCTTTCATACATAATGGACTAGCTATGGATTTTTTCCGTGACAATTTAACCAAGTTGAAATCAGTATTTAAATATTAAGTGTTAACGGTGCCAAGTACTATTATGTATTAAGTATAAATACTAGTATAACATATCAAAACTAAATAGATTAATATTAAGTTAATTTACTTAGGTTATTATGTTTTGTTATATTATATGTAACAAAAAAACGGTTCTGGCCCAACTATGGGCGTATACAATTAAATAAATAAATTATTATTATACTGCAAAGTGCAAAAAGATTAAAAAATAAAAATTTTCGAGTTTCGATTTACACAGATATATCATTGGAGAGAAAAAACGGTGTTCGATTTCGAAATTTCAAAAATAAGAATTTGAAGAAATGAATAACTAAATAGGAAGACCCGAGATTCGGGAATCATCCTGTATATATTATATGTATATAATATTTTATATTTATATGGCGTTACAACAGTGTAGGTAGCGAATGACCACCACACACTATTTGCCATTATAAACACATCCCTCTTGTGTGTGTGTGTGTGTGTGTGTGTGTGTGTGTGTGTGTGTGTGTGTGTGCGTGAGCATAAATAGCGTTATAATTTAACCGCAGTCTTGAAATACGGTTTTAATTAACTCGTCGGCTTTGCGCGGAACAGGAATCGCCGCCAATTATACTGCGCAACAGCAGAGGGCTAATGCTGCTGCAAGACATAGTCGGTATATCGTATACGGTACGACGCTTTGAGTCCGAAGCGAAATTCGTGAGTCTCGTAAGTCCGTAAAAGTGTACAAAAAGTAATTACAAACTAGGATTGCATGGACACCGTGTATGATGGTATTATGCACAGTTTTTTTTTTATTTTAAGATCGTTCTCGAATATGAGTCAGAGTTGGAGTTTAACTAGAATTAAATTTCAATAACTAATATCAAAATTTTATCTGTTGATGTTGACATTTGATTTCCATATTTTAAAAAATGAAATGATTTTAACAAAAAACGACATGTTTACTTGATAAACATGCCTAATAATTTCTTTTGATTCTTATTTTAATACGAATCCTTTCAGATTTACTTTGAAACAAATAATGTTATATCTACTGTCTAATTTAATTCGTATGCTTATATACATTAAGGCATAATATTTTGAATCTAATGTTTAAAAGAAACTATTTTTTTTAAATTAAAATATGAATTATTCCACAATATTATAAAGATTTACTATTTTCTGAAAAACACATATGATAGACATGAAATACTTAAAAATTATTATTTTATATGAATCTCAACGATTTTGTTTTAAAAATATAATTATACTTATTTTAGAAATAATAATTAATGCATAAATGTTTTATTATTAGGTCTGTGAACAAATTTTAAATTAATCTTTAAATAAGAAACCGAGTTTTTGTTTACGAATAATAACAGAACAAGCCAAACGTTCTACAGAATAATATGTCAGATTAACTTTTTAGAGTTAACTTTGATAAAATGCAAGATTTTAATGAGATATAGTGCTATGAGTAAAATTGTGGTACCTACTTAATATTTACTCATTACATAGGTACACCCTGGTACTTAGATCAAGGTTGTACTGTAGTTCTTGGAGCTTAGAGATATAATATATATATTATAAAGACATGGGAGCATTATTTTGGTTACCTGACTTATACGATTTTTTTTTAATCTGAAAAAGTCTTGTTATGATGATATTTTTCAAAAATAATAGGTACCTAGGTAATAATATGTTTATTTTGATTACCATTAATTTGAATAAATATATTATATTAAATGAAAACAAACCATATCGTGAACGTTTACCACAACGTGTTATCGTTATAAATGTTATTAGCATTTTTTTTATCATTATGGTAATCCAACATAATATACCAAGTCATAACTCTCGTTCCGTGTTAACGCTCAATAAAATTAGAAGGAAATATCGTATGCACTGTGCACGTCCCACCCCTCTGGAAAACGACAATTTTGAGCTATAGGCTTTGCCACGGTGCAGTCTATCAACACCTGCAAACAGTTTTCTGATCCTTTACAATATACCATAATGTATCACATTATCTGCTTTCGTTTATCTGATCATATGTGTACAAAATATATAATGTGTAATATTATAAAATATTTGTCGGACTATAATACAGTGTGATTCGTTTAGAGAGAAACACTCGTTTTGTTAAAAGTTTTAATGTTTTTAGAAATATATATATTTTTTTTTTTTTTAGTTCACCCAAGGCCATTAAGTAACCAGAAATATTATTAGGAAAACATTATATTTCTTATGGTAAGGGAAGTTTTTTCATTTTTGGAATGCAGCATATAGATACTTCATATCCCAAATTGAAATATTTTTTTGAAAGTTAAATTGTGTAAAAATCGAATTTCATAAAAGAAGTTAATAATTGTTTAACGTTTTGATGGACACAGTAAAGTTGTGGTTCAACATTTTGTGGCGTATTATTCATGTTGGCTGTGACCACTCCATTCAGCTCATAATTTTCTGTACTTTAAAAGTGTATAGGCCATAATAGCAAATATTATAATTATTCAAAATACGATTTCATATAGGTATTAAAACTCTTGGAAATACATAGTCTCGGGATAAGAAACCAAAAATGTATGAGGACAATAAAAAAGTAAAAACGTAGAAAATAAAAAAAAATAAATTTTTTATTCAGAAATGTTGTTCTACAATGATTTAAATCAAATTTTTTTTTTTATAAATTCCAAAAACGTCAAATACATTTGAGAAAATTAGTGTTTACTTCAAAAAAATCTTCATGTATTTTCTAGGGACGCGCTTATATTATTATATCAAAAATTCAAAACCCATTAATTTGGTTGTTTCAAATATTATAACTGCGTGTTAACACTAATCTATAGCAGTAACCAAGGCAGTAAAGATAGATATTATACTGTCAAAAGACACGTCAGTAAAAAAGAGAATAGAAATGTTGCAATAATAAGAAATCTCATCCATCCATCATTCATCCAGTCGGCAGAAAAATGTATTATTCCGAAAAATCGTTTTTTTTACTATTAATGAGAAACGCAATACAAACAAGTAAACCTGAGGTTTAACAGCACCAAACGACTCGTTTCTTGTCACTGCAGTAGGCTTAATGTCATCTCAGGTTTTACGATCTAAGTCGATTTAATGCGAGAAAAGTATTTTTTTTTTAGTTGAAAACAATAAAACTCGATTCTCGGTGATATATACATCAGTAACTACAACATAAAAACCGACCGACCGAAAAATTGCATTCGAAATTACGAAAAGTATTTAGTGTTTGAATTCTTTTTGAGCTGATATGCAAACACAGTAATTTTACGTATTTTACATTTTTATAACGTTATAACACATACGCTTGAAAAACATGGTTTTTACATAATACAGTAGTTAACATATAGGTATACAGAGGTACTGTGAGGGTAAATAATTAATGTTAATGATGATTGTTTGAAAGCTTACATACGTCGATAGACTCGAAAAATTTAACTTAAACAAATAAATAATAACTCACATTATTAGATAGAATAATTCGTCGGTCTAGAGTGATTGGGTTAAACGTTAAACGCAAACCGGACATGATATTATTCAACAATTTACTAAAATGAAATATTCTTTTTAGTTTTGTAACAATATAATATTGTATGCTCGATAATTACAATAGCAAAAAAGACGGGAAAATAGGCACCGCTCAACCACTCTGTTGTACAGGTGTCTGAGGGGTCAGGGTTGGTAGACAAATCTCACTAAATAACAACCTAGTAATATTTATTTTATTCAATAATACATATAACATATATTGTAATCTAATATGCATAAATATATAATTCAAATTAAAGAAATCACTATTATATTATTCTATACTATTCGTCAATTTGTTTGATTGTCATAGGTACAATGAACACCAACAATAGTTAGTACATTTATCATGTACATAAATATATGATATTAGCCTAAAATATAAACATCGAAATCGGTATACTGACCCTAAAGGCTAAAATACAAATTTTGTTTTAAGCGCAACTGGTCCACGCACATTGGTTTTATCTTCTCGTTTGGGTTTCCTAAAGACCCATTTTCCGTAAAAAACTTTATGTAATTTTGGGACACCACTATAATTTTCATCGAAACGAAGTCGTGTATTTAAAACCCCGTGACATTCAGCCGTAGTGCATTTAGAAATAAAACAGATCATACTTTGCGCGTCTAATGAAATACCCAACTTGGGGGAGTTGGAAAAACTAGCTTTTTAGCTCGGCCAAAATCTCCAGAAAGTAATGGCCAATGCTGTATTATTGTATGCCGTTCGTTTACACAACTTTTCACTTTGTGTAATATTTGTGTTACACCTCAAACCGCCAGTATGTTGGGGCGTAATATTTTCCACCGCTCTTAAATTTCAAATAAACTGTACAGTATACAGTACTGCTATAACATGTAGAGGTATACGTACTCTAAATAAAACGATTAAGTTTTTAATAAAAATTATTATGTTTATTCTCATAGGATTTTATTGGTTTGTGTTTGTACGTAAGTGT